AACACAAGATGTCTTTTAGTCATATCTGATCAACAAATCAGGTTTATGAGACTACAGAAGGAATGTCTGCCTCGTGTTGAGGTTCCAGTAAGAGATGTTTACGTGCCTATCCTGAGGTCCAGCTCCTGCCTGACGTCGACAGCGTCGCTGGTTTTTTGGTCGGGCTGGGTGAGGTGCTCGCAGGCTGCTCTGACAGCGTGAGGCGTGATCTCGGAGAAGCGGGCTCGGAAAACCTGCAGGTTTGGCTTCACTGCCAGACACACAGAAGAGAAATCAGAGGGACTCAAACACCAACAGAAAGGAGAAACTAATAAACAGCTACTGAGAGAACGTGCTGTCAGCTTTCCAACAGCTGGATGCATTTCTATCACAGCCACGTGTTTGTTAGAATTAGCCAGCATTTAACCTAGACACACTAAAATTGAGAATTTGCCTCTGCTAAAGGAGTTGTTAGAGCATTAATGGAACTCAGACTGATGGAGATGCTCTACACACCAGCTTTGCACACGTGGATGATCTCAAAGCCAATGTTCTCTCCTTCTCGATCGCAGTCAGTCCAGATCACCAGGGCTTGGCACTGCTGGATTTCTCGTTCAAGGGTTCTCTGAGAGGAGAAAAACACAGGGAGAACATTCCAGGCCACTTGCTCTGTCATTTCATTTCAGAATGACTCACTGAACACAAAATGCAATGTGTATCCATGGAGATGGGTCGTTGCAATAACAATTTGTAATTGTGTGTCTTGAGAGATCAGGCAGCTTTCAAAAGAATTGAGTCATTTATTTACATCTAATTCTGTTAAAAAATTCGGCTTGGAAAAGGTTGTACCACAATCTGTTTTCTAAAAATGTCTTTTTCTGTAGAACTGAGACACTATTATCAATTCCACCTTGTTGGAAAAAACATATTTTTAGCTGTTCCTTCACTGCACTACTTGTACATGAACAAGAGTTTCAGTGCCACAAATGAACAGCATACATAGTCCTAGGAAATGTAGGAGGAATCTGCTAAACTGCAAAAATGTGGATGTTAAGGACAAAGGAAAGATCATCCTTCTGTCTGGGACAGTATTTTTTGAACCAACACCTGGGTTCAGTTTCAAAGTCTTAACCATGATATACCTTGATATCCAGATAATTTTCAGGGCAATACTTCTCAATTTCAGCATCAAAAAGAGCTAAAGGGTTGCAGCTATGCCTGGAAAACAGAGAAAAAATGTGTGTGTGCATCACATAAATTAAACCACCATTTTTGAGACACTACCTGGTGCTCTCTAAGTACTGGAATTAATGTATTTTATTACAGGCCTTGTTTCAGACAACAGAGAGTTCACATAAAATGCTGAGTAACTTTTAAAAACAACAGAATGAAAAACCAGCCAGAGAAAACAGCAAATCTGGAAGGCAACAAGCAGCTTCTCCTATCTGAAGGCCAGAGTACAAAAGGAGGTAAGGCAGAGAAAGCACCTTGCTTCCCAGAACAGCTCCTAGCTGAACAAAGAACACAAAACCATCCCATTTTGGAATCAGTTTAATTCCCTGTGTCTGAAGACAGGAATTTGAAACAATATTTTGGCTATTTTCTATAAAATTTGGAAGTCATCACCTTGCTCTGAGTCAGAGTCCCTCCCTGCCCCTTTGCTTTTGAGCATCCCAAGGATGTGTCAGGGAGATTCTTGCAGTGTCAAGGGTGAGAACAGGAGGTGACAAACCCCTCCTGTGAGGGCCAGGAGGTGACAGAGCCCTTCCCCTTCCCGCCAAGAGCACGAGGTACCAACCATTTGCGAAATGGCATGACAAAATCATGAGCCAGTAAATGTCCTGACACAGATGTCATCACCATGGTAACGTTCTGCAAGAGACACAGCAAGGAAATGAGGGCACATCACTCACCAAAAACTACCCACAGCCCCAAAATCTCCCTTTAGTTCTCAATTTAAATGATTAGTGACACCTTTCTGCTGTTAATCCCAGAGTGGTTTGGTTTGGGAGGGACCTTAAAGCCCATCCAGGGCACCTCCCACTGTCCCAGGTTGCTCCAAGCCCCATCCATCCTGACCTGGAACACTTCCAGGGATGGAGCAACCAAAATAAATACATCCTAACAAGCTCTATCCATGGCCTTATCCTCAACTTTTGTAGGAAGCTCCCCATTCTAAACAGCAACGTTATTTTTGACTGGCATAAAACCAGGAAGTTAAAAGATTTAGAGCAACAAACAGGTGGTTGAGCCAAGAAAACATCTGACATTTTCTCATCTTTGGGCAGAACATCCCTATGGCTGGAGCCATGTTTTGTAACTCCTGACAAATGGCTTTTATTAATTAGTATATTTACTTCATTAATCCAGCAGCAGAGGGAGAGAAAACTCTTACCTGGCCAAACATGTGGTAGTCATATTCATAGATTTTGTTGAACTTGGAAAACCCTTCTCTCTGGAAAGAAAAGGAGAATTCCTGAGTTTCTGGCTTTTAGCTGGACACCAATTTTTAATATTTTTAATTATTTTTTTTTTAACAGGAAACAAATCCATCCTGCCCCACTTTGTCCACACTGGGATGGAGCACAAGAGGCACATGGCAAAGGAAAACCAGCTACTGGAGCTAATGGGAATTGCAGCAAGGGGATGGAAATCTCCTGTATCATTTATGGAGACACTGAAATGGTGATTTCCAAGGTAAGAGTATTTTAAACCATTCCTGAAGGTGGTTCTAGGGTTATCTCCCCATGAATAATGAGGAACTGATTTATTTAATGGGGATAATATTCAGAAACTCCTGACAAACTCCTATCTTTTTCCAATTGGCAAGTAGTGTCCCCAAGGCTACCTCCCACCTAACTGCGACTCATGGAAATTTCTAGATTGTGTATTTACTGCTTTTTTTACAGAAGCAGGATGATGTTTGATTGGGACTGTCAGCACCCAGGTTCTCAATAACACCTTCTATTCAGATAAAGGAGTTTGGAGCCACATGGGGGTCAGCTTCTTTTCCCAGGTGACAAGATGAGAGGGAACAGCCTCAGGCTGTCCCAGGGAAGGTTTAGGCTGGACATCAGGAAGAATTTAATCATGGAAAGGGTTATCAAGCATTGCAAGTGCCCAGGGAAGTGGTGGAGTCACCACCCCTGGAGGTGTTGAAGGAACCAACTGGATGTGGCACTCAGTGCTCTGGTCTGAGTGCCAAGATGGGGATCACAGGTTGGACTCGATAATCTCAGAGGTCTTTTCCAACCTCAGTGACTCTCTGATTCTGCTCTAGTAGCACCTTAGTTTGGAAATTCCTTAGTTTTGAAACAGCTAGTGATTATGCAAACTGTTACCAGAGCAGCAGAGAGCAGAAATCTTTGAATTTTTCTTCTCCAAACCACAGCCCGTTTTTGCTTTATTTGGTGACCTCCAGTAAACCCCTGACACTTCCTGATGCTGCAGAAGTGGTGCTTTTAGACAGGGAAATGGATGGTGGCAGTTTCTGAAGCCCTTGTCATACACTGCTAATCCAGGAAGGACTGGGGGAACCCTCACCATGGGAAGGCAGCCTGGGCAGAGGGAGCCGAGCTCCCACTGGATTTAACCCACAAGGATCTGAGACTCCCAAAGACATTTGAGCAAGTGATGTTTGTGCACAGAACATTTTTGTACCCTCGTGTGTTCAGAGATAAAAAAAAATGACAAGTGTGCTGATGTGAAGCATCCATGCCGAGCTCTGCCGAGAGTGCTGGGGCTGCCACACACCACACAGACCCTCCCCACCCCTGTCTCCGTGCGGCAGGGAGGAGCACGATGTGGGCTGTTCCTACCCGCCGCATCCTGCTGTTGGAGAGCAGCTCGGCGATGCCCCGGGCAGCATCGTTCTTCTCGGCCACGCACAGGACCTTGCGGATCCTCTGCAGCGCCAAGTCCTCCGCGGCCCGCGAGAAGCAGCGCCAGGGCTGGGGCAGCATCCTGGCCCCGCTGAGCAGCCGCACGTTCAGGTTCATCACAGGAGCTGAGGCCAGGCCATGCTGCTGCTCCGCCTCCTGGCACGGAGAGATCGCCGGTGTCACCGGGAGGCTCAGGGCAGCCCCTCGGGGATGGAGAAGGGGTCACGGTGCTCCGGGCATAGCTGTCGGGAGGATCCTGCAGCCTGGCCCTCGGCCCTCTCCTGCCCTGCTGGGGCTGGGGCTGCCCTATCCCCCAGGGCCGGGGCAGCGCAGCCCCCTCACCACCCTAGATCCCCCTTGGGCACTCCTTTACCCAGGACAGCCCCTTCCCCACCTCAGATATCCCCGTTGGGCTGTCCCTTATCCAGTGCAGCCCCCTCGCCACCCCAGATATCTCCCTTGGGCTGTCCCTTATCCAGTGCAGCCCCCTCACCACCCCAGATATCTCCCTTGGGCTGTCCCTTACCCAGGCAGACCCTTCCCCACCCTAGATCCCCCTCGGGCTGTCCCTTATCTAGGGCAGCCCCTTCCCCACCCCAGACCCCCCTCGGCCTGTCCCTTATCTAGGGCAGCCCCTTCCCCACCCCAGACCCCCCTCAGGCTGTCCCTTATCCAGGGCTTTCCCTATCCTTTCGCCCTTTTCTCCCCCGTCTCGCCCTCACCACCCGCGCTCACCTCCCGCGCTCCGCCGCCGCTCCCCGTCACCGTCACGTCCTGCCGTAAAGCGCAGCCGCGGCGGCGGCACGGAACTACAACTCCCGAGATGCTCCGCGGCGCCACAGAGCGTCCCCTCCTGCCGCCGCTCTGCCTCGGCTTTCCCCCCTTTCCCGCCGCCGCCGGGCCCGTCCCGGGATCGGCAACGACAAAGGGCGACGGCGGTAAATATAAACAACGCCAGCTGAGGAAGAGGAGGAGGAGGCGGCGGTGGCGTCGCTTCCTGCCGGCGGGGTCGGAGGCCGCGCGTCATGTGAGTCCAAGATGGCTGCGGGGCCGTGAGGAGGCGGCGGCTCCGGCCATGGCGGCGGCGTGAGGGGAGCGCGGGGCTGCGGCTGCGGCGGGGCCGGGCCGGGGCTGCGCCGGTGCCTCCCGCGGGGCCCGGCCGTGCCGGCGGGACCGGGGCCGCGTCGCTGCTCCATGTCGGTCCCGTCCTGCGGGAAATATGATCAGCGCCCCTGACGTGGTGGCCTTCACCAGGGAGGAGGAGCTGGAGGATGATCTGTACCGCGAGCCGCCCCTGCCCGAGGAGTACTCGGTGCCGCTGTTCCCCTTCTCCGGCCAGGGCGCCAACCCCTGGGCCAAGGTCGCCGGCTCCAAGTTCACCCGGGACTTCATCCTCATCTCCGAGTTCTCGGAGCAAGTGGGGCCCCAGCCCCTCCTGACCATCCCCGATGACGCCAAAGTGTCGGGCACCTTCGATCTCAATTATTTTTCCCTGCGGATCATGTCTGTGGATTACCAGGCATCCTTCGTGGGGCACCCTCCCGGCTCTGCCTACCCGAAGCTGAACTTCGTGGAGGATTCCAAGGTGGTGCTGGGGGACTCCAAGGAAGGGGCCTTTGCCTACGTGCACCACTTGACCCTGTATGACCTGGAAGCCAGGGGCTTTGTGAGGCCCTTCTGCATGGCCTATATTTCTGCTGATGAGCACAAAATCATGCAGCAGTTTCAGGAACTCTCCACCGAGTTCTCCAAAGCCTCCGAATGCCTGAAGACGGGGAACCGGAAAGCTTTTGCCAACGAACTGGAAAAGAAACTAAAAGACCTTGACTACACCAGGACCGTCCTGCACAACGAGACTGAGCAACAGAAGAAAGCCAACGACAAGGGGTATTACACGACCCAGGCCATTGAGAAGGCCAATGAGCTGGCCAGTGTGGAAAAGTCAATCATCGAGCACCAAGACCTGCTGAGGCAAATCCGGTCGTATCCCTACAGGAAACTGAAGGACTCTGAATTCCACCCCTACGAGCCAGACTGTGCCCTGGACCGGGCTGACGTGGGCAGCGATCAGAACCCCACTGCCTCTGACCCCACTGAACTCGGAGAAACTCACCTTTACACCCACGTGCCATCCTACACCCCCAAACTCATCAAAGCCAAGTCTGCCAAGTGCTTTGACAAGAAGCTGAAGACACTGGAAGAACTCTGTGATGTTTATTTTTTCACCCAGACACTTGACCAGTTGCACCATATCGAGAGGACTTTTCGGGGGGATGTTTGTTACCTCCTGACAGAGCAGATCAGCCGGGCTCTCCTAAAGCAACAGAGTGTCACCAACTTCCTCTTTGAGGATGTGTCTGTCCTAGATGAAAAACCTCCTGAAAAACAGTACAGAGGTTGCCAGGGGCTCGGCCAAGATGCCATAGATGAAAAGTGTTCAGAAGAGTCCCTTGCTCCCAAAGTGGTCATCAGCCTGGGCTCCTACAAGTCCAGTGTGGAGTGTGTGCCCATCAAGATGGAGCAGGAAACGGAAGACTCTGAAGAGCCCAAAATGTCTGAGTCTGTGATATCTGAGCACCAGGAGAACCTGGACTATCTGGATGCAGATATCAAAGGCAGCATCAGTAGCGGGGAGAGCATCGAGGTGCTGGGGACGGAGAAGTCGGGATCTGGGCTGACAAAATCAGAGAGCCAGGCCAGCCTGCCCGTCATTCCCAGCCCCCAGGCGGGCCGCAGCAAGGTGGGCAGCCGGCGCACGGTCAGCGAGGACAGCATCGAGGTGCTCAGCACGTGTCCCTCCGAGTCCCTCATCCCGGAGGACTTCAAAGCGAGCTACCCAAGTGCCATTAACGAGGAGCCCTACGCCGATGATGATGAGGGAGGCCTTCGCTTCACCCCCAGAGCGAACCCGGGCGTGGATGATGGGCAGGACGACATCTCAAAGGAAGAAAGCTTAGTGCAGGTGGATGCTGCGTGCTGTATCGGGAAGGAGAGTCCCAACTTCCTGGAGGCCCTGCCCGAGCTGGGGCAGAAGCCGTGCGAGGAGGACGGCGTGGTGCGGATCCCCCCGCAGCCGTACCGGCCGGCCGAGCAGGGGCTGCGCGGGGGCTTCCCCTCCCACCACGGCCTCCCAGGGGGGCTCCTGCCCTGCGAGCTCGACTCGCGCTACCTGACGGGCAGCAGGGAGGTGAGTAAGAGCAGCCTGGACGAGTGCTCGGACTCCACCAGCCACATCAGCAGCGCCGCCTCCACGTGCTCCGACAGGACCCCGTCCCCAGCCCACCCGGCCTGCGCGGCCGGGGAGAGGCACAGGAAGAGAGCCGGGCAGAACGCGCTGCGCTTCATCCGCCAGTACCCCTTTGCCCACCCCGCCATCTACTCCCTGCTCAGCGGGAGGACCCTGGTCGTGCTGGGGGAGGACGAGGCCATGGTCAAGAGGCTGGTGACGGCGCTCTCCATCTTCGTGCCCAACTGCGGCGCATACGCCAAGCCCGTGAAGCACTGGGTCACCTCCGCTCTGCACTTGGTGGATTTCCAGAAGTGGAAGTTGATTGGACTCCAGAGGTAAATGCAAGGATCTGATTGCTTTAATAGGGCTGAGGTAACTTAAGAACTTAATCTCAGAGGGCAATGGATGTGCAGGGGTGGTCTCTTAATTACCAGCATAGCTGCCACGAATTTCTGCTGGTGGGATTTATTTTGGAAAATGAGTAGACTTAACCCTGTGTACAGCCTCGCTTGGGAGTCAATGTTTAAAACAGCACTTGCTGCCTGCTCAGGTGAGTTACTTGGCCTGGAGGTTATTGCCTGGCAAAGCAGGGAACAAACACCTGAGTCCTGCAGGGTTCCTCGCTGAACTGATACAAGTGTTCCTGAGTCCCTTGTGTGTTCTGCTTTGCCATCTCCTGCTGGAACTCTTCTCACATTTCTAGCTGGAATATTAGGGTAAATGGTGCTGTGCTGGAGGGGAGGGTTTTTTCTTCTGCAGCCTGTTGAAGAGGTGATGAGATCTGTAGGTCAATTGGAGAGCAGCACCTCAGTCTGTGCTGGTGAGGAAGAAAGGTGCCTGGAGCTGTGCAGGAGCAGTGTTGGGATTGTAGGAAACCTCTGCTTAGGGTGAGAACTGTCCCAAAAACAAGTGCTCCTTCCCAACACTCAGTCCTGAACTATGGCTTCACAGCTCATATTAGCAAAGAATGTTTGCTCAGCTCAAGGGCCCTGCCCTTGTTGATGTTATGAAAAGGACTTTTTTGTGTGTTCCAGGATGTGTTCTGTGCTTTGGGTGCAGGTATGGCAGGGAATGGCCGTTGCTGTCACCAGGGTGGAAAACATTGAGTCAGAGTGGCAGACAGTGCTCAGAGCCAGGCTGGAGCAGCTCCTGCAGGAGTGTTTGTAAACAGCAGGAAAATTAAAACACAGAAACCTGCTTTCTGAGCCGCAGAGTATTGTATTGCTGGGGGAATGTGGATACTGAAATTATCCAAAACTGTGAGTTTGCTCTCATTTCTATGTTTGTGAGGCAGGTTGACAGCTCTGCCAACAGCTGCTCACAAGCTCTCTGTCTGTCAGTGAGGTTTTTAAAAACCCCAAGTGTTTACTCGTTGCTCAATGTTTGTGGTTAGATGCCATTTTTATAAACAGAAATCTTTATTTAAGAGCTGCCTGTAACATGTGTCAGTCATTTCAGCTCTCCTCTGTGGAATGTTAATTAAGTATTTAGTTTAATGTGGGTGCTCTCCACAAACCATTTGTAGGAGGGCTCTGGGAAAGAATTTAGAGGCTGAACGATTTATTCCAGTAAGTATCCTCTGTCTCCTATGGCCAGGTGCTGCCTGGACACTGGGGCAGCCCCTACACCAGTTGAGGCTCCCAGTTTGAGGCTGAGAGCTGTATCTCAGCCCAGCAACTGTCACCACAAAGAATGGATGAGCTGAAGGGTTTGCCTTGGCTTGTAACTTGCATTTCAGTAACGTCAGGTTAAACTTGGTGGGTAATTGTATCCTTGTGAGCATGCTGTGGGCTTGCACCTGAGTGACAACAAGCCAGACTCAGCCACGGAATGAATGTTGTGTGTTAAGGATGTTTCTCTCTTTTAGGAAATTCAGAAGGTTCTGCTCCACTCAGGGCTTCGAGCACCTCAGAGCAGCTCCCTCCCAAAGCGATTTGGGGTGAACGTGGAGATCTTGGAAAGGGGGGGAACGTGGAAATATTGGAAAGGGGGGAACCTGGAAATCTTGGAAAGGGGGGGGGAACGTGGAGATCTTGGAAAGGGGGGGAACATGGAAATCTTGGAAAGGGGGGACTGCTTTCTGAGTCACATTGGGAAGCTTCCAGCTGCTGTAAGATGTGTCTATTCACCAGAGTTGCCCTATGAGTCCCTCTGCATGTCACCGAGGGAGGAAGCTGACCAGAAGTGTGGTGGTTTGTGCTATAGCATGCACAGTACAGATCAGGGCATGTGGGGATCCAGGGAATTGAGGTTTCTTTAGGATCTGGCAAGCTGGAGAGCCAATTTGTCCCCCCCTAGGGCTTTATTCACCCACAGAGATCTTGCGCCAGCTCATCAACTAGGGGGAAACTCCCCGGGATGCAGGGCACGGACACACCCTGCTGCTTAAATCCCGGCTGCCCTGCAGCCCTGACCTGTGTGTTGCTGTTGCAGGGCAGTGTCCCCTGCCGGGGTGAACGTGCTGCACGCCCTGAGCCGGTACAGCCGCTACCTGAGCATCCTGGACGCCGACAGCAAGACCCTGCGCTGCCCCCTCTACAAGGGCACCGTGGTGGCCCGGCTGGCCGACCACCGCACGCAGATCAAGCGTGGCAGCACCTACTACATGCACGTCCAAAGCATCCTCACCCAGCTGTGTTCTAAAGCCTTCCTCTTCACCTTCTGCCATCATTTGCACCTTCCCATCAGCGAAAGGGAACCGGAGGAATCCGTTGTGAATCGCAGGATGAACTTCCTAAAGCATCAACTGGGCCTTGCAAATGAAGATATCAAAATCGTGCAGTACTTGGCCGAGCTGCTGAAGCTGCACTACATTCAGGAACCGGGGCAAGGGGGGAACCCCCTGCTCAGATTTGACTATGTTCCCAGCTTTTTGTACAAAATCTAGCCTTGCACAGGCCGTGTGCCCACGTGCTCAGAGTCTGACAGAGCTCATCCGTGCTTGACATTGCCGCTGTCTGCAGTAGCTCTCACACATCGGGAAGGGGCCAAGGTGTTTGTGTCTCTGCCCCACAGAAATCCAGGTCTGCAGGAGTGGATTTCTGGCTGTTCCCTGTAGCCAAAAGTGTAGATGTTCCATCACATAAACCATCGGGCACTCTGTAAATGTCAGAAGGGACACTGTTAAAGTGGATCACGGCAGCATCCCGGGGGGTTATGGCATGAGGGGTGGTGGGTGATCTCGGGGATCAATACTGACTAGTGTGCAGCCCCCCATCTAGCACAGTGTCCTGAACACTTCTGCCAGAACCCTGAGCACTGTCAGTCCCTTCCAAGGAGCCAGGGCTGTGATCAGAGGTGTGAAGGCCATGTGAAGTTTTATATCCACTGATGTGACTGTCATGGGGGCGTAGCTCAGAGCCCCCTGGCAGGGAAGCAGCTCGCAGGTCTGTGCACAGCTACAATGGATGGTGTCCCTGCACTGAGTTTCTGGGCACTTCCCAGGATAGGTCATCCCTGAGTGAGTGGGAGCACAGTGGAGGCACACATGCTTCTCTCCAGAAAGGGTTTCCCAGTATCTCCCAGCTTTGTGAAAATCAGGAATGTTGGAAGCACTCCCTAAGGCTGGTGAGCCCCGAGGCACCGGCCGCTGCGAATGTAGAGCACTGTGCCTTGTTCATTTGTCACATCCCATTTGCTGGGCAGCCTCCGAGCAGGCTGCAGGGAGACTGGGAATCCTCAACTGTGAGGTCAGAGCTGGCTTTTTAAAGGCAGAAGGGAACTGAAGGAGGGTGAGGGCCCTCTTTTTAGGTGCTTTTTGTGATGGGGAATCAATTGATTCATCTGGAGCCACGCTGTGAGACAGCAGGCTGTTAGCACAGGCTGCCTGACTGGTGAGGTGCAAGTGCTCAGGAGAGATCGGGGATGAAGGTACTGGATTCTATGTTTTATTCATATTAGTTTCTTTTATTTTATTTTGTTGGGGAGTTGGCATTTGTGCTTTGTGGTAAAACAGGGCCAGCATTGCTGCCTGCTGCTCCTGGCTGAGCCGTTGTTGTGTCCCGACTACCTCTCCCAGGACTCCTGGGTGGCTCTGCATGGGGCAGAACTGCTGCTCTCTGAGCCTGGGTACTGAGAACTTTTCCTTTCAAAGTTTCTGTGCCATAAAGGATGTACCACCAACGTGGTGACACTCACTGATAGTTCTGTCAGTGCCCAAAGCCTTGTGCCCAGGCACAGCACTTCCCTCTGGAGTTTCATAGGTGATACTGAGCCTGAGCTGCTCTGCCCGGTGCCATGTGGCAGTAGCAGCTCCCAAGGTAGTTCTAAGTAAGACAAATCTTTCTAGGAAAGCTAATATTGGTTTTAATTCCTTTTAATGCTGATTATGGGGTGAGAGCAGCAGACATCATACAAGAGCTGATCTGTTCTTTGGTTTGTTGGGTTTTTTTTAACTTCTGTTTTTGGTGATAATGTGAGGCAGCTTTGGAGATGAATGTGATCTTCCTTCTGAGTCTGGGAAGTTTCTGTGTACAGCCTGGGGTTACCCAGCATGGCTTAGACCCCACTGAGACTTGCTGTGAGACCTGCACTCCTCCAAAACATTGTCTGGAGGCAGGGAGGCTCCCTGGGGCAGCTGCCATTTTGCACCAGCATCAGGAGTCTCAGGATTGTGCCACCTCCTCCTCTCCCCTGGAAAGGGCTCTCTGGGGTATAAACCAGCAGGGCAGAAAAGTTGTTTTTAAGGTTTTGTGGTGTTTGTGGTGGCTCAGCCAAGTTGGCCTTGTAGTTCTCTCCAGAGGATTTTCCAGGGACAGGGGTTGCTTGTGGTGGTTTGAGGTCGTGGTTGGAAGCAGTGTGGTGTGGCCTTTGCTGAAGGTGAGCTTCTCACCTTTATAACGTGTTCAAAGCCTTTTCCTGTCCTGCCTGTGCCCTCCTGTCTCATGTGAGCTGAGTCTGCTGGTGAAAGGCCTCTGTGTCCATCCAGCTGGCTGCTTCCTGAAGTGACTCAAGGTGCCCCTGACTGATTGATGCACACCCAAACTTCCACACTAAAGCTGAGGTGAGATTCCCTGGGGGAAGAGGCATCTGGGTAGATGAGTAATGCAGGTGACACCGGGCAGATGAAAGCTCCCAGCAACCTGCTCTGGAGCAGTGCTCAGAACAGGAGCTTGTTTCCTGCTGAGAAACCACCTAGTGCTGTTTGGGTTTGAGGAGGGAGGGAGGGAGGGAGGGACAGACTTTTTTTCCTGCTGACTCACTCCCATCTTCCTCCAGCACGGGGTGGGAGAGATGATTCGTGGTGGCTCATCTTAGTCACAGTGGTCTCCACCTGTGGTGTTCAGCTGTGCTCATAAATTGATAAATAACTCACTCCTTGCTGCCTCTGTCCAACCTGTAGTATCTGATACTCAAGGCCGTGTTGAGCAATACTTGCACTACCACCTGTCTGACCTGCTTCACCTCTCTGCCACAAAGCAGCCCTGACTGGGGAGGATGCCCTGGGAGCTTGGCTGGAGCATCACCCCATTCCCAACGGGAGCTCTGGGATTATCTGCAGTGGGAGCTGTGGAGAAACACGCCCTGGAGTGCTTGTCCTCCTCTCAGCAGTGTAACCTCTGAACTTGGACTGGAAAAGGGGGAGTTGACACCGGGCTGTGGCGCCTCAGTGCATTTGGAGCCCTCTGCTTGTCTGCTTGTGGTGGCAGCTGGTGTTTGGGAGCTGAGTTCCTCTTTCCTCTGTAATTTCTCTGTCTCTGTTTTTCTGCTGCTGTACAGTACAGATCCCTGTATTGGCACTTTAGGACTTCCCTCCATCTCTGGTGTGGTTCCTCACCAGTTCCTGATATTCACAGACTAACAACAAGCCACAACCTTTGCACTGATAGCTCCCACCATTTATTCTGGCACGTGTGTCATCATCCTCTCGCCTGAGCCATCCCTCCACGAGGAGCAGGGCGGGTTCCTGGCAGTGGCAGTGCCATCCTCCCCAGCCTTTCAGCTGCCAGGGCCAGCGGTGCCCTGCATGGCCGTCCCCTGCTTCCGTGAGTGCTGCCAGCCCAGCATGTCCCCACTCCCGCACGGCCACGCTGGCTCCCCCCTGGCTGCCAGGGAGAGCAGGAGAGGAGCTGACCGAGAATTCAGCAGAGCAGGAGCCTCCCCCGGCCGGGAGGGAGGGCTCCCGTTTCCCACTCCTGCTCCTCCCGGCTGCCAGCCCCTGCTCTGCTCTCCACCCACCCACCGCTTCCAGCTCCCACCCCAGGAGGCTCAGCCATAGCTGTAGGTTGATCTTAACCCTACAAAGCTTTCATTTCTCAGAGAAACAGTGCTCAGATTTCCTTTCATCCGATAGCAATCACTTCTGAGCAGCTCCACAGCTGCCTTGCCTCGGCAGGGAGGAGCTGCCTATACTCTAGCAATATTCACCGTAGTGGGAGGGTGGAAGAGGCACTCCAGGGGTGGGAGCTGATGGCTCTGTGCCCCCAGACCAGTTCTTTGGCTTTTATTGTGTGTGAGGGTCCTGAGCCCCCTGGTCTGGTGGTGGGGACCAGCCCACACTGCAGATTCCAGGAGCTGGGCACCAAGGCCTGGAACAACAAAAGGAAGAAGCCCCCGGGAAAAGGGCCAAAGGAAATCAAGGAAGCTGCCCAGGCTGCAGGAGGAGAACACCTGCCCCAGAGCACAATGTCAGAGCACCAAACTGCACCCCGATGTTGGAGGGGTCACAAACCCCCGCCCACTGCTCCCCGAGACGGATTTAACTGGAAGGCAGAAGCAGGGTACCCGGTCCCGCCGGCAGCACGGCTGCTGGCACGGGGATGGGGCTGGGCTCAGAGCTGCCTCTGAAGGCTGCCAGGAGGCTGTGATGAATTCTCATCTTATTTTAAAAGCACTGTATCCTATTCCTGCATGTTGAGTTCCGTGTGTGTGCCTGTGCGTGCCGAATGCTTGCGTCAAGTAGTTAGGGCGAGTGTGACCGGGAGAAATCCAAGAAGCATGTCTTAGTGTCGTGCTGTAAGTGTTACTGCACAAGAGTTTAACAGATGTTAACACCAAATGACTAGTCTGAGAAATGTACTTTTAAAAAAAAAAATATTTATTTGGGTTCAGATATTTTTGAAATACAAAAAAAAAAGAAAAAAAAATTGGTCGTATTTTTTAAAGCTTATAATTCTTGTCATACGTCGTGGTTAAATTCTTAATTTTATCGTGCTGATTAAAAAATGGTTCAACCTAAGCTTTGTGCCAAAGGGTCAGAGAAAATACTGGAGGATCTAGTTAGAATAGGATAGTGATCCCAGGAGGAATGTTCAGGACAAGGCTTGGCCTTGTTGTAGCCTGTGGAGGTGTCAAGGCACATAGGATGAAGGGGAATCCTGGAGGCTGAAACCAGGGGGACTTTTAGTGGCTGTGAGGTTCCTTGTGCAGCTGGAGCCCCTGTCCCTCACACTGCCATGGGCAGGGTGTCCAGGGAATGTGGACAGCCCAGCCTAAATCTCATCTGCTGCTCCACAGCCAGCAGGAGCTGGATGGCACCTGGCCATGAGGTGAGGCTGTCCTGGTGCTCAGTCCCAGTGGTGACACAGTGGTGAAGGGCTGGTGTCCCCACAGGGGTTGTACTCTTGTACTCATGGGCTCCCTGTGCCCCACATGGGAGGGGAAAGGGGAGTAAGAGCCCAAGGAGGAGCTGCTGCTGCAGTTCTACAGGGAAGTGCTGGGAGAAGGCACTGGGGTGTTGGTCTCAGCCTGGGGATTGTGGGTGTGCCACGATCCTGGGTACTCCTGTTGCTCTGGGAGCAGGCATGGCTGTGTCCCCTTACAGGACGGGCAGCCCCGGGAGTGGGAACGTGCCTGCGAAGGCTTCCACCTCTTCCTTCAGTGCCTTCAGCTCCTCACGGTATTTTGGGTCCTCCAATTTGTCCTTGAATTCCTTCAGCGTGGCCTTGGGGCTCATGTCCTTCTGCACACGCAGAGCCAGCTCGATCCCTGCCAGGATGGGAGATGTCTTGGTCAGCCCTCCCATGGCTCTGCTGCTCCCTGGGACACAGCCCTGCTCCCTCCCTCCTTCCCATCTCAGGGACTTGCTGCCCAGGGAAACAACTTGGAACTCCTGAGAACAACTGGGAGAAAACTGTGACAGGGACAGGCTTTCAATCCACTGCCTGTGCAGTGGGGAGAGTGTGGCCGGTCCCAGCTGTGGCCAGATGCCCTCCCCCACATCCAGATGTGGAGGTAGGATGATTATTCCTCACTGGTGGGTGTGCTGCCTCGCCAGCTGTGCCAATGGCTCCAGCGTGACTCGGCTGGTGCCTCCTCACCCTGGGGAGCTGCCCTGTTCCAGGCTGGTGCTGGAGCTGAGCCTGGCTCACCTCTGTGGATGTACCGGGCCACCTTGCGGAAATCGTCCTGCCGGAAGCCGCGCGAGGTGAGAGCCGGCGTGCCGAAGCGGAGGCCGCTGGGCCGCAGGGCACTGACATCACCTGCAGCACAAGGACACGTCACCAAACCTGGCACCCAAACCACCGCCCGTGGGACTCCAGCCTGGCTCCTGGAGCGCACCAGGAGCTGGCAGAGCTTGTGGCATCTCTCACCAGGACACGTGTTCTTGTTGCAGGCGATGGAGCAGAGCTCCAGCACCCGCTCGGCCCGGCCGCCGTCTGTGCCTTTGCTGCGCAGGTCCACGAGGATCAGGTGATTGTCAGAGCCCCCTGCAAAGAGAGGGGTTTGGTGGGATTGGGGAATTGCTGCTCCAGCAGGAAACTTCACCAAAAGAAGACTTGAGATTTAACAAGGAGTGAGGAATTCGTCACAGAGCCCTGACCACGGTGTCCTTGAAGAGCTGCCCTGGTCAGACCACAGGGTCAGCCCCATCCCACTGCTGAGACATGTCCTCACCTGTGACGATGTCGTAGCCCATCTCCATCAGTGCTGATGAGAGTGCCTTGCAGTTGGCCACCACCTGCTGCTGGTAAGCCTTGAACTCAGGTGTCATGGCCTGATGCAGCGCCACGGCGATTCCTGGGGATAGAGGCAGGCCAGGCTCAGATTTTGGGGTTCCCACCAGCAATGGCACTGCCAGCAGAAGCCATACTGGAGCTGAACAAACTAATGGACTGATCCTTCCTTTCCCCTCACCAGGCTGGTGGCATTTCTTGAGCCAAAAGACAGGATAGAACATCTGGTCACTCCTTGGGCAATGCTGGATCAACCAGCTGCCTTTTGCCACAGAGTCCCCAGGCTGTGAGCCCTGTAGGGCAGCTGGAGCCTCCCGTGCTGCTGCTGAGGGGTCAGAGCCCTGCCAAGACACCTTTGCCAACTCCCTGTGCCATGCTGGAGCTGGCAGCCAGCCTGGCTGCATACCTGCAATGGCGTGGTTGTGTGGGCCTCCCTGCAGCCCCGGGAACACCGCCTGGTTGATGAGGCTCTCCAGGTTGTAGAGGGTCTCCTTGCCTGTCTTGGGGTCCACGCTGCGGGTGCCTGCGAGACAGGGAGGACACGGTGACAAGGCAGCACAGCCACCCTTCCACAAGCTGCTTTCACCCCCTGGCTGCTCACAGCAGCCACAGTGGTTGTTCCTCTTCAAATCTGAGCCAGGCTCAGCCCAGAGAAGCTCCCCAGACACTCCCAGGATCTTCCTGCCCTCCCTCCTTCCCAGCCAGAGCAGGGAGGAGCGTTAACTTGCAGCGTTCCTCCCGGCAGCCCAGGCAGGTGGGGCACCTTTGCGGTAGAAGATCATGCCGGCCCTGCAGCCCCGCAGGGTCTTGTGGGTGGTGGTGGAGACGATGTCGCAGTGGTCGAAGGGCGAGGGCACCACGCCGGCGGCCACCAGCCCGCTGATGTGGGCCATGTCGGCCATGAGGTAGGCGCCGTTGTCGTCAGCGATCTTCCGCATGCGGGCGTAGTCCAGGTTCCGCGAGTAGCAGCTGACACCTGCAGGGACAGGCGGTGAGGAGGGGACAGGAGCAGACGTGCAGGACCCCGGGACAGCCCCCCAGCACCAGCCTGCAGTGTGGACAGCCCAGCTGGGGACAGTACACGAGCTCCTGCCAGCGCGGTTGTGTCCATCCACGAGCTTACAGGGGTGCTGCTGGCTTCAGGGAGGCACCCCCACCCCGGCTGTGCCACAGGTACAGGTGAGATCCTCACCTGCTATGATCAGCTTGGGGTGGAAGAGCCGGGCATTCTCCTCCAGCTTGTCATAGTCGATGTAACCGGTCTTGGGGTTGACCTGGGAGAGGAAGAGGAGGGTTCAGCCACCTCGCTGTGGTGAATATCAGCTGCAGTGCTGTCCTGCAGGAGAGGGTGCTGGCAGCCTGATGCTGGTACTTTTAAACTTAAGAGGTGCCAACACTTATGATAACTGCACCCTGGCTGTGGCTGGAGCAGCTCCCCACCTTGTAGGGCATGGACTCGAAGAACAGAGAGGTGGCAGAGATCTTCTTCTTGTCCGTCATGAAGCCGTGGGTGAGGTGGCCACCGTCGGGCAGGTCCAGCCCCATGATCCTGCCGTGGGGCTCCACCAGGGCCGTGTACACGGCAAAGTTTGCGGGTGACCCTGCAGCGAGAGCGCACCGGGCTGGTTATGAATGCTGGGGCACACAGGGGCCTGGGCAAAGTGTCCTGGCTCTCCTGAGCACCCCAATACCTGAGTAGGGCTGGACATTGACTCCCCACTTCTGGGGGTCGAGCTGGTAAGCCTGCAGGGCTCGCTTCTGGCACAGCCTTTCCAGCTGGTCCACAAACTCCGTCCCACCATAGTACCTGCAGTAAAGGACAGGGCAAGGGTAAAACCAAACTCATTCCTCAGAACGCAGGGCTGTGACCAAGCTGGGGAGAAACTGGGGTGTGATGCCCCTTTTGTGCAGCCACAGCAGACATGACCCTGCTGGGACTGTCCCATGTATGGCCAAGGACAGAGGCTGAGAAGGTCTACAAGAGCCTGGCTGCTGGCATAAGGACACTGCTTCCTTCCCTGAGGCAGGATGGGGATTTCTCTCCCTCCCTGCAAGGGTTTGGGTTGGTGGGCCTTAGCCCCAGCCCCATACCTCTGTCCTGCGTAACCCTCCGAGTATTTGTTGTTCATGCAGGATCCCAGGGCCTCCAGGACTGCTCGGCTTGCGAAGTTCTCCGATGCAATTAACTCCAGCCCCATCCTCTGCCGCTGCTTCTCCTTCTTGATGATGCTGTGCACCTTTGGGAGAGGAGAGAAATGGCTACAGCCATGCTGGCTCTGCATGGAGATGTGGATGCTCCACCACAGAGACCAGGCTTGGAGAGAGGCCTGGAAAGGTGCTGGAGAACAGATGTGATCCCTTCTTTGTGCAGCTGATCCCAACCAGTCACAGAGAGGGCACAGAGGATGGATGGGTTCCAGCAGCTCAGCCTTGGACCCTGCCACGTCCTTGGCTTGACAAGGTCAGCATCCCCAGGGCTGGCTGGGGGATGAATGAAGCAGCTGGGGGAGCCAGGAAGGAGCTCTCACCTCTGGGTCGTTGGTGTCCAGCGGCTCCATCACCATCTTGTTATGGGAGGCCCAGAGCTCGGCGCTGGGGAGGCCCTGTGCTGAGCTCGCCATGGTGCTGCTGCTGGCTCTGAGTCACCTGCCAGGGGAGCAGGGAGTCTGTGGGATGGCAGCAGGGCTGGGTGCCTCCACATCTCCCTGTGTGCTGCCTGCTGCCATCCCATGCATTCCCTGAGAACAGCCATGGGCTGTTGGGTGAGGAAGACACACACAACCCTCAGGCTTCCCCTGCTGACTTAAGATCAGTTTGTTAATTACTGTGCTTTGATAATGTCTAATACTCTCCCATCACCACCCCTCCCTGAGCTCCCCCTGCCCAGCTCAGCAGTGCCTGATGTTTAATTTCAAGGGCAGTGAAGTGCTCATACCCACCGATCTCAATTTTAACACACGCTGTGATGCCCAGCACACTTAAACCTCTTGACTGCTTTCCCTTGGCAAAATCCCAGCAAGTCAGAGTCCTGCCCAAACCCTGGCTGAAGCATCTTGTGGAGCTGAGAGGCCCTGAGAGGCAGCAGATCTGCCTCTGCTTGGTTCCATGGCCTGGGTGATGCCCAGGCCTGCAGGAGCTCTCTGGCCCAGTTGATGCCACTGCTGCTCTTGGGGAAGGAGTAACAGCCCAGCTGCTGCCTTGGCAGAAAACAATGCATCTTTTTACTCATTAACCCCGCAAGGATGGGTGAAGGTCCATGAGCAGGCTATTAAGCAACCCCACACGGTTTCCTTGTGCCAAGCTGCCAAAGTCCATTCACGCCGCCCTTGCTGGGCAGGGATGCTCAGCCATGCTCTGGCCCTGAGCAGGATGCAGGTCCTGCATGTCCCCCCAGCACAGGGTGCTGCAGCACTCTCACTCACTGACTCTGACTCAGGGGGGACAGAGCTGCCATTCCCAGTCAGGATAAGACCCCCCCCAACCATGGTGGACACCTGGCACCTCACCTGGAGGACTCCAGCCCTGAAGCTCTATCTCCACCTAGTTCTGCAGCCCCTGTATCCCGACTCCATCACCTCCCACATCCCAAGTGCTTGTCCCGGTCCCTGTCCTGGTCCCTGTCCCGGCCCCTGTCCCAGTCCCGGTCCTGGTCCCAGTCCCTGTTCCGGTCCCGGTCCCTATTCCGGTCCCTGTCCCAGTTCCTATCCCGGTTCCTGTCCTGTTCCTTATCTCGGTCCCTATCCCGGTTCCTGTCCCGGTTCCTGTCCCGTTCCCTATCCCGGTCCCTGTCCCGTTCCCTATCCCGGTTCCTGTCCCGGTCCCTATCCCTGTCCCTATCCCGGTCCCTGTTCCTGTCCCTATCCCGGTCCCTATCCCTACCCCTATCCCGTTCCCTATCCCTGTCCCTGTCCCGGTTCCTGTCCCTATCCCGGTCCCGGTCCCTATCCCGGTCCCTACCCCTATCCCGGTTCCTGTCCCTATCCCGGTCCCGTTCCCTGTCCCGGTCCCTACCCCTATCCCGTTCCCTATCCCGGTTCCTGTCCCTGTCCCGTTCCCTATCCCGGTTTTTGTCCCGGTCCCTCTCGCTCCTTACCCGCTCCCGATTCCGCTACCGCGCGGGAGCCCGCGCGCTACCATAGCCCGGCCGGGCCCCGCCCCCTCCGCGCCGCAACCAATCAGCGCCGCGCTCCGCCCCGGCTCCGGCGGCGGGCAATACGCTCGGGAAGCGCCTGGGCCAATCAGCGCCGCGCTCTGCCCCCTCCCCGCCTCCCATTGGCCCGCGCCGGGGCGGGGCTGGCGGCGCGGCCCGCACGTGGCGCCCGGAGCGCGGGTGACCTTGGCCGGGCCGGGAGGGCCGCGGCCGCCGCTGTCAGCGCGCCGCCGTC